CCCTCAGGTGTTTGCTGTTTTTATTCTTCTAAAAGAAGAATCTTTGCATCATGCTAAGATTACTGCTTTAAAAATCAATTCTGCTGATGGGCACTAACTGGATAAACTGACAGCTCAACTCCCAAAGCAGATGACAGCGTAGCAGGTCAGGGGAGATGCCTGGAAGCCATTCAAAACGCTCTAGCTTAATTTATCCAAATCTAATCAATTGATGCATATATCACGGCCCAATTCCTATTCTCCTCAAGGCCAGTTCACAAGGACTGTTCCCTGAGTTCTGGAAGGGGTGCTACACAATTTAAGTTATCTTATGTTTGATGCTAATCCAAACTCTTGTGGGCTTAGCTCCATGACCTGGTTGTGGGCATCTTTTGTCACTACCTGTTTTGAATACCCAGTATCGTACTGAGTATGCTGCTGCTGCTGCTGCTGCTAGGTCACTTCAGTCGTGTCCGACTCTGTGCGACCCCACAGATGGCAGCCCACCAGGCTCCTCTGTCCCTGGAATTCTCCAGGCAAGAATACTGGAGTGGGTTGCCATTTCCTTCTCCCAGTACTGAGCATAGACACTGCAAAAATTCAATAAGTACTTGTTTCATTAGGCTTTCTGGCTCAAATATCGTTTGTCCCGGTGTGGCTGAGACTCTCCCTCAGGCTTGCTTCTCTTTTCAGCAACTAGGAAAATAGCTCTGCAGGAGTACTCCATTCTCACAGACACAGAGAAAAAACCTAGAGTCCTAAGGCAATCGAGGCCACTTTCATTTGGTCAACTGTAATAAAACCAGAATGGGATTACTGCTCCCTTCCTCTTGAGGGAAAAAGAGCCTTTTTACCACCAGCACTCTGGTTTATACTCCCTCATTACGTGACTCTTTATTTTAAGAAAGAATGCTTTAACTCTGGTGTCACCTTAGACCTAAAGTAGTTCTTATGTTTACAAGTGTGGCCAGAGGTCATAGCCACAAAATGTAATAAAATGTTTGCTGAATCCAAACCGTCTATGTTTCTACCCTTAGAATCAGAGTAAGTAATAAAATGACCACAAGGTCAAGTGGCTAAACAAGTACTGCACATTATAGACATCTACCTACTTTCTTCATTCAAAATCATAAAAAGGACTCACTGGTAGGTGGTGAGCGCCTTAAAATCTTTATAGAGAGGCTTAATGACTGTAAGCTAGGAGATGCTGAAAGCAGTAAACCAATCTGACCAGCCATGAGGCTAGATAATATCCCTTCCAACTTGAAGATTCTAGAAAGTTGGGCTATCAGAAAGCATGGGATTTAATTGATTTAATTGATCTCAGGCCACCCTTGCCTGAGTGATTCTGAGGTTCCCCCAGCACTCAATATTATCTGCAAATGAATCACTGAGTTACTTTGTGGCCATCTCATTATCAAAAACAGAAATTATGAAGACTCAGAGCCCAGATGCTTACATAACTCATGTAAAATACAAGAGTCATAATGGATTACTGGGAAAATATTGTATCCATTATCAAGAGCTACGCAAATGTACCATGGTGTTTTACAGAGCTTCTGAACCCACAAAACCCTGAATCTGCCCCTTTCAGATTCAGCGGAAGAGATTACACTATAAAAATCAGTTCCTCTACAAATTCACTGAGATTTTTGGAGCACATCCAATTTCCATGGGGATTGCATGAAATACACCAGCATAGTAGAAATCAATATATCTGAAATTAGGACAGCCAGTATCCTCAGTGTAAATAAAAAACTGGTAGTCACAACATCTGCGCTTTTTCTCCACAAGCTCAGAATGAAAGAAGTCTCATACTCTCAGACCCCTGATTCTTTAAGGTGTTCCATCACCAGGTCATGTCTTCCAAAGCCTTACTACAAGATCTCACTTTCTGGATTTATTTTTCCAGTTGCGGCAAGAATTTGTCTGATTTCCAACAGTTGTCAGTGGTTTTAAGTCCTTGCCTAGAAACGTCACAGGAACGAAGACAATGTTTTTACAGGACCTATCCAGAGTTCCTGAATTTAAGTCTGGTACGAGGAAAGACAAAGGAAAAGAGTTCGGGGACTTTCAAGAGCAGGGGAAGGAGAAAAGAGCGGGATCAGTGATTTACGGGTGATCGCGATTCCGGTCTTTGATGAGAAGGGGAGCCGCACAAGAGACAGGGTGCCACCGCGGGTAGCCTTAGCTGTAAGAATAGGTCCTCCATCATCCCCGAAGCTCCAGCACTGGAGGATGCCCAGGAACCCCAACCTCTCGGCACCCCAGCTCCAGATCTCAGCGACAGTCGCCCTCGGTCCTGAGGCCAGCTGGAGGCGCCCGGCCGCGTTCCCACCCCCTACCCGAACTCACAGCCAGTTTCCTTCTTGATCTCCTCGAGCTCTTCGTCCCGCAGTAACGTGGAGGCCCGAGACCCCATCACCAAGCCGGGAGCTCCGCTGGGAGCAGGGGCGCCTGAAGCGACAGCGGCGGTAAGAGGGAGGGACGAAGGGGAGGAAGGGCCGGGGTCAAAGAAGGGAGAAGGCAGTGTTTCTACTGCGGACTGGGAAGGGAACCCAGGGGTGGTGCGCGGCGATGGGCAGGCCGGAGGCCCAGCCAATTGGGAGTGAGGCTGCGCTCAGCGCTGGAGCCGACGTCGACGTTCCTAGCTCCAGCCCCGAATGAATTAGCCCAGCGCCGGGCCGGGTCTAACTAAAAACGGACCACGCCCCCGGAACCATGATGCCACCGGTCTTAAAGCGGCAATGCCACGCTGGCCCTAGCGCCCGCAACTAAAAGGGCAACGCCATTGATCCACTGTTTTACAACACACTGACCTGTCGCAGTCAGTGTAGCCAACCTGTTTTTCATAGAACTCTAACACTAGAAATCCCACCCTACAGTTAGTATGGATTGCAGAGAGAAACAAAAACAGAGAGGCAAAACGTGGCTTGGTTGAATGCTAGGGTGTGTCTCCCGGGAACTGCATGCTGGGAGTTGCATTGAACCTCTTCATTTTTTCCTGGAGGCTCTCTCTCCTCCAAGCCACAGGGGGCGCTCGCGAGCCAGTTCGGGACCGCGAGCCGATTGGCTCCTCGGGAAACAGCGCAGTCGTCGGCTCCAGACTGTCAGCGCCCGAGCTGCGTACTTTTCTCTACGTGGTTTCGGGATTGCTTTCTGATAACGGCTACCCAGGGTTTGGAACTTCTCGAGATTTCTTTCTTAAAAGCAGTCCTTTTTTCAGTTCAAGATTGAAACTCAAGGAATTCACTCTTTGGCTGAAATAGGTACAAATTTCCGTTGGAGGAAAAAAAAAAAAAAACAACGGCGGAGGACAGACTTTCTAACGTATGGCCCGCCGTTTAAGTTTCTTATTTTGCCTTAAAAATGAGGAAGTTTGCATTTTGTTCTTATGGCATATTTTTGTTTTCTTGAAAACGTTTAAAGCCACCTATCAAATTAGTACACCTTCTCAGGAGAACCAGTTCAGTAGCTGTGGCCTCAATGCCTTTACACCCCGTCGCCGCCCCTGTTACTTTGTACAAAACTGGTTTCACTTACAGAAGAACCAAATTCTGACAGATCTCACTTAGTACCTAAGCCCTAGAAGACTGTCTTAGCGGGCTGGTAGTCAACTTAGGTTACAGAGGTTCTAGTTTTACTGAGCTGTTTTCATGATTGACTTGCTCTCCTCTGACTTAATGATGTCTACCTTCGTAAGTAGAGGGTGACGTGTTGGATATGCCCGTCTCGGCCACAGGAGCTTCTTTTTATCTTGAGAGTATAAGTACGATAGAAAAATCTGTGTCGTCAGCAACTTGAGTGTCCGTTTTGAGTGTGCTGTGAAGCCCATCTCTGGATCCTGACCTTGCTCCTTACTAATCTTGAATCTTACCTTTTGCAGTTGTCCTCAGTAGAGCTTTCTTCGCTTTATTTTAATGTTTTTTTGATTTACTTTAACATTTCTTAAATTTCCTTTTTTCTCAAGCATTTCACAAGCTTATTTCTTATGTATCTTTTAAAAATGTAAGTTAATTTTCACCTCTAGTTAAGGGCTGGTTTTTGCATTTTTATATTCTCTTTTATTTCTGTAAAAATTCCCCTTTTGCTTGTTGGGTTGACTGGAACAAGGAAGAATGATTTTTCCAGGCACGCTGATGACTTGTTCTGTGTTCCCTCTGGAAGCTAACACTCCGTGCTGCACGCATCTCCACTAGGGGCCTGGTTTCACTACCTTCTAGCTGTGTGACCTTGGGCAGGTGCCTTAAATCTTAATTTAAGCCTCAGTTTCTACATATGTAAATCAGGCAGTTGTTGTGGGCAATAAATAACAGTTGTGAAAACACTTGCTAGACCTTAAAACATTAAAGTGTATGTTATTTATCTGGTTAAAAACACTATGTAACCTCACCTTCTTCCTAGATGAATTGGGCCTTGGTTATTTGGTCAATGTTTTGTAGTTAAACTAAGTTGCAAAATTCACTAGTTGACTATTCCAAGTGTGGTGAAGGCAAGCTGCTTTTAAATTTAAACCACTGTGGAGAAACACTTAGCTGAGGTTCAAAATACAAAGACATCCAAATAACAGGATTGTTCTAAAAGATCTTTTTTAAAAAAAGAATTCATCTTTTAAATTACAGTATTACACTAAGGAATATAAGAGTATCTACTGTGAATGATAGTTATTTCTGCAAGATAAAGTTTTTTCTTTGTGCATTTCTGCATTATCCTTTTATAATGAGGATACATCATTTTTACAAAAACAGTTGAATTTTACAAAACCATTGTGTGGCATGTGGCAGTTTAATTTGTCAGGCTGCACATGACTGGTTGGTGACAGTCCCTGAGCTGTGGCTAGGGTGGGGTGGAATGACCCTCAGAGTGACATGGCAACTGGATTGGTAATGCAGAAATTGTGATGATTCTAACTCACTTATTCTTTGGTTGTTAACAGTGTGAAACTCTGGAAATGTTATTAATCTAGAAGAGGTTATATCCAGAAGAGATTAGATCCTGGACATTTCTGGGTAAACAATTCATTGCAACATATGTTGTCAAGTGTTTGCCAATATCATTTTTTTTTTTATCTTTTAGTTTTTTTGGCTGATGTTAAAATGGTGTATGTATATGCTATTGAAAGGCCTCTAAACAGTCTTCTTGCTCCATTTAGCTAAGGAAGGATAGGTGATATTAGGCCATTTCATAGACAAAGAAATCAAACCCTCTGCCTGAAGTCTTACAGTTTTCAGTTTCCCATGTATAAGTTAGAGTTGATACTTGCAGTGATCTTTTTCTCATTATAATTCTAAACAATAAATAGAATTACTTGAATATTTTTATTTTTCTTATCCCAAGGATGAGGAAAGGAAAAATAACCTCATTTCTCCCAAAATATTTAAAAAATCATAGATCTCTTTTATTTTCAAGGATTTAAATATTAAAGAAGATTATTTGAAGACTCCTTTTGGAATCAAATAGCATGGACCTCAGCAGTGACTACCATTTCCTCAACCAGATTTTGTGGAGAAGAGTGAGACTCACATTAGTTTGTGGCATTTTTGAAGGAGTGCTGCAACATGTGGACCCTGACAAGATTGTTGTTTTGAAGAAAGGTCTCATTTTATTTCTCATAATCTCCTGCCTTTTAGGAGACTAATAAGTGCATTTGAGTGATGATTCTGGGCTCTCTTAGCAACTGGAAGAGTGGCATTATTCCTATTTTAGGGGAAAGGTGGGAGGAAGATTAGAATGTTATATTCTCTAATGGAGCAATATGACTGTGTATGCTGGCTTGTCCACCTCAGTACTTTTATTGACATGATAGTGGAAAATTTCAGTATATGGGTTTTTTTTTAATTGGGTACATCTTTTCAACGCACCTTGAAATTAAAAATGAACACTGTATTAGATAGAATTGCTTTTGGCTTCAACAGACGAATTCCAAAGACAGTAAGGGGCTAATTTTTGTCATGCACAAAGAAGCCCAGAGGTAGACTGCTGAGGGATAGTGCAGTGGCTGAAAGATTCCAGGAGAGATAAGGTATCTTGTGCTCCTACCCTGCCACTTCAGTGTTCACCTGTTATCCTCACAGTCACAGTGTAGACTTTACACCTCCCAGTTTCAATTCCATTTCCTTTATGAAGGATATAATTCAGGAACAGCCAGATGGAGGAGTTTTATAGAGCAAGGTTTGTGGGAACGGGCTCAGAGTTTCTACTGTCTAAGCATGCCACCCTTTTAGCCTCTTCCATGTGTTCACCTTGAAGCCTTGATGTAGAGTTTTTATTCATCTAGAACATTGACTTAGAGTAGTTGTTTTCCTGGCACAGTAAGTTTCAAGGTCACAATTGAAATTTGTAAATGACATTTGAGAGATTAGTATTGTTAAGCCATTATTAGTTAAACTTTTGTAGGCTAGGATGGGACTATATCAGGCTTTTGCAATATTCATTTGGTAATCATTTATTGAGTTTTATATCCCAGGTACAGTGCTGGGTACCAGGGATATGGATAAGAATAATATGGTCTCTGTCCTTGAAAAAATTAGACTAGTAAAGAGACAGATAAACAGGTAGAAAGATATAATGCAGTGTGATATCCTCTGATAGAAGGACACACAGGACCCTATGGAAACACAAATTTTCTAATTTAGATCTGAGACAGTGAGGAAGGCTTCCCAAAGGAGGAATTGATATCAGAACTGTATTTGAAATTAGATGTACCTTCACCAGAGTTAACTGGTTGGGAACAGCGGGAAAGGTTGTTTTAAGCCAGTGGTTCTCAGACTTCATCTATATTTCAGAATCGCTTGAAAGACTTGTTCAAACACAGATTGATGCCTCCCATCCCCTCGAAGAGTTTCTGATTCTTATGGTCTTAAGTGGGGTTCAAGAATTTGTGTTTCCAAAAAGTTTCCAGGTGATGCTGATTCTGTGATGGGGAACACACTTTGAGAGAACCATTGTTTTGGGAAGTAGCCGCATATGCAAAAGTAGAGAACTGAAAACTTGGTGCATTCAGAAAACATTAAGTATGGGACTTGCCTGAGGTCCAGTGGTGAAGACTCCTCACTTCCACTGCCCAAGACAGGGGTTCTATCCCTGGTCAAAGAACTGAGAATCTTCATGCTTTGTGGTGCAGCCAAAAAAACCCCAAAAGACAATCTAAATTTCAATGTAAGGATGTGGTGAGAGATAAGGCTGGAGAAGAAAAATAAGCATAGGGCAGATCAGAAGGACCTCACATGTCATAACATTTGGAACTTCTGAAAACAAGGAGGAACAATCTGAAATATCTTTTAAGTGGGAGACATATAGATTTTCAGATTACTTGCCTGAATTTTGTTTTTTTGCCTGAAATTTTTAATGCTGTATCAGTTAGGAGCCATGCTCAGCTGCCAGAAACAGAATTACTTCTAGTGGGCTAAACAAATCATGTAAAAGAAGGCAGGTATCCCAGAGCTACTCTGACACTCCCCAAAGTTGTTCTTTACCTTTCTGTAGTACCAGCTTCACCATGTGGCTTCAAACCTCAAGGACATATGGTAGTAGCTGGTGGAGTTAAAGACAGGAGTAAGAGGAAAGATAGGGCAGGGGGTTGTTTCTCATCTTAAAGAGATGTCTTAGAAATTTAATAGACACCGCTATCTAGGGAGAATGAGCATATTGGTAGCCTGAATAAATGGCACTAAGTAGATAACAGTAAATGCGACATGCTCGTTCAACAGAGTGTTCAATTCTCATGAAATTTTTGGTATATTTCTCTTTAGTGTTTAATTACGTAGTTTTCATGTAGCTGACATAAGAAATTGGGTATATCATATATGCATTTTTTTAGTTAACACCGTAACATTTTCTTATGTTATTTGAAACTTCAGTTTCTGGCTAAACATTTTAAAACAAAAAGCTTAAAAATTTTAAAAATTTTGTAATATAATTATAAATTATAGTAAATTACAATTAAAATACAATTATATATTTTATAATTATGAGTTATAATAAATTATAATTATAAAATACATTTCTATATTTGTTATATTTTATAATTATTATCTTAGAAATAGTTCCTAGTGAAAATTCTGGGTGAAAGTTGATATTTTAAATGTTTCTGATGCATGTTTCTAAATAGTTTTTCAAAAGGTTATGTTTTTACTTTGCTACTAGTAATGTGTGAGTGAATTTCAGTAGATAACCTAGCCTTGGGTTTTTAAGAAATGCAAATGTGTATCTTTCCTCAGTATTTGTTAGTATTATAGGCAAAGAGTGATATTTTATTTTGGCATATTTTTAAAAATATTCCTAAGGAGGTTGAATGTGTTTCTTCATACCTGTTTACTTAAAGCTATGGTTTTTCCCGGATAACCAGCTCATGTTGGGTACATGAGACTAGTGCTCGGGCCTGGTGCACTGGGAAGACCCAGAGGGATCGGGTGGAGAGGGAGGTGGGAGGGGGGACTGGGATGGGGAATACATGTAAATCCATGGCTAATTCATATCAATGTATAACAAAAACTACTGTAATGATGTAAAGTAATTAGCCTCCAACTAATAAAAATTAAAAAAAAAAANGCTGACTCCTTGGAAAAGACCCTAATGCTGGGAAAGATTGAAGGCAGGAGGAGAAGGGGATGACAGAGGATGAGATGGTTGGATGGCATCACTGACTCAATGGACATAAGTTTGAGCAAGCTCCAGGAGTTGGTGATGGACAGGGAAGACTGGTGTGCTGCAGTCCATGACATTACAAAGAGTTGGACATGACTAAATGAATGAATTGAACTGATTTACTTATTTTATGTAATATATGGGCAAAGCAGAGAGTGACATCACTATGATAGCAGCATAAAATGAACACTTTGAAGTAGGGAGAAACAAGAAACAAGGAGAATAGACAGGGAACTATTCAGGCAATCAAGGGACCCAGTAAAGAGGAAGTAAAGGAGTCAGAGCTTAATCTTGTCAAGGAATGGGGAAGACAGATTCTAGAAATGCTTAAGAGAGGGGATTAGTAATTTAGTAGTCAATTAGATAGTCATAAAGCAATGGAAAATGACTCATACATTTATGACTGAGATTTGATGTATAATACTACTATTGATAGAAATGGGAAGAGGAACAGGTTTGTTGGTTACTGCAAGAAGATAATGATCAGTTTGAAAAATCTTGCTGTAAGTCTGCCATTAGTTGAAAATTCGAGTGGACCTCAGAGAAATAATCCATACTGGAGAAATGAGGGATTAGGATGACTAGGAAGTGGATATGATCATTCAAGGAGAAGGAAGAAGGATGAAGAACATAACCCTAGGGACTGTGTGTAAGTGACAAGGGGTGGTGGTAGAGGCTGCTGAGGAGACCAGAGGAGCAAATCAGGGAGACGCTGGAATGCTGGTTATAAGATGCATATTAAAATCACTGAGGCCTGGATTTGAATCCTGACTCTTTTACTAGTAGTGTGACCTTGAGCAAGTTATTCAACCTTTCTGAGCCTCAGATTCCTCCATAATGAAGATAATGAAATGCCTGTCTCATTATGTTACTGGCTAACTAGACATAGGCAATAAGTTAGCATGATGCCTCGATTAGGTGCTTAGTATGATGACTCTGGATAATTAGTAGGAAAAGAAATAAACACTAAGAATGTCTTGTAAGTCAAGAAAGTAGAGAACAGTATTGTCAAAGGATGCATGGGAGCCAAGTATAAGATCGTAAACTTAACCGGGTATTTTACAAATAGGCAGTTGGTGATCTTTGACCTCAGGATATATTCCAGCTGAGCTATTTAAAATCCTAAAAGATGCTGCTGCTGAAGTGCTGCACTCAATATGTCGGCAAGTTTGGAAAACTTAGCAGTGGCTACAGGACAGGAAAAAGTCAGTTTTCATTCCAATCCCAAAGAAGGACAGTGCCAAAGAATGTTCAAACTACCATACAGTTGTGCTCATTTTGCATGCTAGTCAGGTTATGCTCAAAATCCTTCAAGCTAGGCTTCGGCAGTACATGAACTGAGAACTTCCACATGTACAGGCTGGGTTTAGAAAAGGCAGAGGAACCAGAGATCAAATTGCCAACATTTGTTGGATCATAAGGAGGCAAAGGAATTCAAAAAAAAAAAAAAAAAAAACCAAAACACCCCATCTGTTTCATTGACTATAATGAAGCCTTTGACTGTGTGGATCACAACAAACTGGAAAACACTTAGAGATGGAAATATCAGACAACCAATATCAGACATCAGTTACCTGTCTTCTGAGAAACTTGTATGCAGGTCAAGAAGCAACAGTCAGAACTTTACATGGAACAACGGACTGGTTAAAAGTTGGGAAAGGAGTATGACAAGGCTGTATATTGTCACTCTGTTTATTTAACTTATAGGCAGAGTACATCATGTTAAATCCCAGCCTGGATGAATCATAAGCTGGAATCAAGATTACCAGGAGAAATACCAACAACCTCAGATAAACAGATAATACCACTCTAATGGCAGAAAGTGAATAGTAACTGAAGAACCTCTTGATGAAGGTGAAAGAGGAGAATGAAAACACTGGCTTAAAACTCAACATTCAAAAAACTTAAGATCATGGCATCTGTCCCATCACTTCATGGCAAATAGATAGGGGAAAAGTGGAAGCAGTGACAGATTTTGTTTTCTTGGACTCCAGAATCATTGCAAATGGTGACTACAGCAATGAAATTAAAAGACACTTGCTCCTTGGAAGGAAAGCTATGACGAACCTAGACAATCTGTATAGTCAAAGCTATGGTTTTTCCTGTAGTCATGTACTGATGTGAGAATTGGACCATAAAGAAGGCTGAGCATCAAAGAATTGATGCTTTCGAATTGTGCTGGAGAAGACTTGGGAGTCTGCAGAGTTTGTACTGCACAGAGATCAAATCAGTCAATCCTAAAGGAAGTCAACCCGGAATATTCATTGGAAGGACTGATACTGAAGCTGAAACTCCTTTACTTTGGCTACCTGATGTGAAGAGGTGAGTCATTGGAGCAGACCCTATACTGAGGAAGGTTGAAGACAAAAGAAGAGGGCAGCAGAGGATGAGAAGGTTAAATAGTATCACCAACTCAATGGACATGACTTTGAGCACTATCTGGGAGATAGTGAAGAACAGGAAAGCGTGGTGTGCTGCAATCAGTGGGGTTGCAAAGAGTCAGACATGACTTAGTGACTGAACAGCAACAACAGCAAAGACTATATTCAGTGGACTAGAGAGAGTGAAACTCCGATGTTTTCAGTTGCTGAGAGATGTAGAGATACACAGATGCTGTGAGCATTTCCATCTGGAAAAAATGACACTGTGTTGTAAACATGACATCTAAACTTCTAAATCCTTTATCTACTCACGGAACAGCCTGTAATTGGTCTAGGAGTTGAGCTGTTGTCTCTGACAATTCATAGTTCAAGCATGTAGCATGACATGAAAAGGGCGTGGACTCTAGAAGTAGTCAGATGCCTAAAATTTTTTTTCTGGAATTAGGTGGAATAAAAATCAGTAGAAGTATAATAAATATATAGTCCTTAGCCCCAGAGGCCTTAGGATATTATTGGCAGAAGTCTAAATTTGATGTATTACTACTGCCCTTTTAGTGTATCTTCGATCATTCTGGGGTTCTCTCTATTCTTTATACTACTTGTTTCAAGTAGTTTTGTTTCAAGTAGCTTTGTAATTTAGCTATATTTTAGCTTTGACTATTCCTTGGGGAAGATAATCTGGTGATTTTAATAAAATTAAGATTTGGGCAATTTTGAAAGGTTTCATATTTTCTTACAGTTTTAGGGAATATTTCTTTTTATTAATCAAATGAATTGTTTTCTATAACAGTGAAGAATGTAGAGACTGGTCTAAGTGTCCCAGGAGTGAAGATGTTTTTTGGACATGAGATTGTGAATGGTGAGAGCTTCATGTTTCCTACTTGTTGGTATCAGGATTTGCAGTAGCAGGAAGCTCACTGCTCTGCCTCATTCCAATATTTGGTGGTGAAGGGGTGGGGCAAGATGTTATCTTGCATTTATGAACTCTTAAAGTTGTCATTTGAGAATTGTCCTTTATCTTACTGTTGCAGTAGGTATTGTGAACAGAACTGTCTTAAAGAATTTTAATCATCTTGGTTTTACAATGTGAGGACAACTGGTTGTCAATATTAGAGGTCAGTTTGCAAGCAGAATTATCAGTCTGAACAGAGAAGAGTTATCTTGTTGAGCAAGTGAGTTTAACACCACACATTCACAGTACATCCACGGTACATTATTTGAAACATTGGGGCCAAATGTTTCAGAACCCAGTCTACTTCTAGATTTTTTAAAGCCTAACAAAGGGTCTGGGAGCTTCCATGGTGGCTCAGGCAGTGAAGACTCCGCCTGCAATGAGGGAGACCCAGGCATGATCCCTGGGTTGGGAAGATCCTTTGGGGAAGGAAATGGCAACCCATTCCAGAATTCTTGCCTGAAGAATTCCATGGACATAGGAGCCTTGTGGGCTCCTATGGAGCCCATGGGATTGCAAAAGAGTCAGACACTACTTAGCAACTAAACAACAAAAAAGGGTATATACTGGTCATATTACATAACACTTCAGTGGGTATGGTCAGCACTCTGTAATAACACATTTCTGTAGAAAAATGGGTGGAGAATCATACTAAGTGGGATAAAATAGGACTATAAGTAGTATGACAGTTCAGGTTTTGCTCCCAAAAGAGTTACACAAAATTTTTGGTTTTCAGACTTTTGGGGTTTGCAATTACAGGAAGCAGCCCTGCTCTTTATTTCTGCGAGCAAAAAATCATTTAGCAAGAATAGATCCAATTATTTGCCTAAAGGGATATAAATACTCGTCTGGTCAGTGTGCTTTAGACAAGCCAAATGAAATAAGAGGAAAAGGTTGCAAACAAGAACTGTTCTTGCTTTCAAGAACACAAAAGCAAAAAGCCATCCAAGGAGGAGTAAATATCAGTGTTGGGTAGAAGAGAGTGGGGGAATGGAAGACCTAGGACCTCATAAAACTGTGCATTTCTTATCATTGAGGCAGATACAAGGAAGGAAAAGGACTCCTGTAAATAAGAGATTACTACTTCTTGAAAGATTGTTTTGTGAACTAAATAGAATTTAGGGAGAGATGAAAATCTCACCAAATTACTGCCAGTCCAGACTTCCTTTAAAGCAGACAAGTACAGCCACTTAGCTAACTGCCCTTTCTCACTCAGTGTGTGGCTGGAGTGCGCTACTTGAGAGCCCCATGAACAGGATGAGAAGGCAAAAAGCTAGGACACTGAAAGAGGAACTCCCCAGGTCAGTAGGTGCTCAATATGCTACTGGAGATCAGTGGCGAACTAACTCCAGAAAGAATGAAGAGTTGGAGCAAAAGCAAAAACAACACCCAGTTGTGGATGTGACTGGTGATAGAAGCAAAGTCCGATGCTATAAAGAACAATATTGCATAGGGACCTGGAATGTTAGGTCCATGAATCAAGGCACATTGGAAGTGTTCAAACAGATGGCAAGAGTGAACATTGACATTTTAGGAATCAGAGAACTGAAATGGACTGGAATGGGTGAATTTACCTCAAATGACTGTTATATCGACTATTGTGGGCAAGAATCCCTTAGAAGAAATGGAGTAGCCATCATAGTTAACAAAAGACTCCAAAATGCAGTACTTGGATGCAATCTCAAAAACAGCAGAATGATCTCTGTTTGTTTCCAAGGCAAACCATTCAATATCACAGTAATCCAACTCTATGCCCCAAGCAGTAACGCAGAAGAAGCTGAAGTTGAATAATTCTGTGAAGACTTACAAGACCTTCTAGAACGAACACCAAAAAAGATGTCCTTTTCATTATAAGGGACTGGAATACAAAGTAGGAAGTCAAGAAACACCTGGAGTAACAGACAAATTTGGCCTTGGAGTACAGAATGAAGCAGGGCAAAGGCTAAGAGAGTTTTGCCAAGAGACCGCACTGGTCATAGCAAACACTCTCTTCAACACAAGAGAAGACTGTACACATGGATCTTATCAGATAGTCAATACCAAAATTAGATTGATTATATTCTTTGCAGCCAAAGATGGAGAAGCTCTATACAGTCAGCAAAAACAAGACCGGGAGCTGACTGTGGCTCAGATCATGAACTTCTTATCGCCAAATTCAGACTTACATTGAAGACAGTAGGGAAAACCACTAGACCATTCAGGTTATGACCTAAATCAAATCCCTTAGGATTATACAATGGAAGTGACAAATAGATTCAAGGGACTAGATCTGATAGAGTGCCTGAAGAACTATGGATGGAGGTTCATGACATTGTACAGGAGACAGGGATCAAGACCATCTGCAAGAAAAAAAAATGCAAAAAAGCAAAGTGACTGGTCGAGGAGGCCTTACAGAGAGCTGTGAAAAGAAGAGAAGTGAAAAGCAAAGGATAAAAGGAAAGATATACACGTTTGAATGCAGAGTTCTGAAGACTAGCAAGGAGAGATAAGAAAGCCTTCCTCAGTGATCAGTGCAAAGAAATAGAGGAAAACAATAGAATGGGAAAGACTAGAGATCTCTTCAAGAAAATGAGAAATACCAAGGGAACATTTCATATAAAGGTGGGCTCAATACAGGACAGAAATGGTATGGACTGAACAGAAGCAGAAGATATTAAGAAGAGGTGGCAAGAATAAACAGAAGAACTGTATAAAAAAGATCTTCATGACCCAGATAA